CACGAAAACTATTAATTTCTAGCTTCCAAAGCATGTCCCCTCGCAGTATATATATATATATTAAAAGTAGTTTAATGGGATATTGATAGTACCTGAATCTTCCGGATCTATGACTGCCCCAAAGGCTCGCTCCTCTGCATCCTCTTCCATGGCCGGCCCAGCAAAGGCCAGCAGACTACCGGGCTCCACCGCGAAGCGGAAGCTGCGCGGTGCGCGCCAGAGGCCTGGGCCGCAGCGCGCACGGCCGAAGGAGCACTGGTAGAGCTCCACATTGCCGTGGCACTCACGGATCTCGTAGGGCTGAAACCAGTCGTAGTGATGGGCATCCACATTGGAAGTGAAGACCTGAAAGTGACAGAAAACGAGTTCAAGTCTGGAAGTATACAGTATACATCACAAATACGAGATTTATTAGGAGCTTCAAGAGCTTATCGGAGCCAAAAAGGAAGTGGACTTGGTGAAGCTATGCGAAGCTTGGATCCATCAACCGTCCGGTTTCCAAGCTTACGCTTGTAGGCCTTTGAACAGAAGCGGGCAGAGATGTGGTGACTCGGTTCGGTCATGCCAATGTCGTAGAATCAACCGAACTACACTCTGACTCACTAACATGGAAGTGGAAAATGGCCTCTTGTCAGACTACTTTCCTCTACAAACAGTGGGTTTTCCACTTCCATGTTAGTGAGTCGGAGTGTATTGAAAAGGTTCATGCTCTGCAGATCAAGAGACATAGAAGGCACCTGCGTGCCCAGAGACTTCGTATGGCTCAGCTGGTAAGCTGTCGAAAGAGGTGTACTCGCTCGTCTCGCAGCTGCTCGACAAGATCGCCCTGGAGACAAAAAATCAAAAGAACCCACAAACCATCATAGATCATAAACTCATATTAGGCTGTGGGTCAAAACCCAGGGTTCTAATTTCCCTGGTAGGTTGACCCATGACCCACAGCCATCTGGCGTGCCCTCTCGTGCCCTGATGGTTCAGCCTTCTGTCATTCTTTTTGTGAGCCCAACTGAGTGTATGTCAAAATTGAAAGTGTCTGATCCTAGGTGGAAAAGTAGATGGACGACCACCTCAGGGTGTCTAAACTACCCCGGAAAGAATCTCCATCAGAACAAGACTGAACACCTGGGTCTTCTGGGTCTTCTGGGTCTTTCGGCCCTCGGTCGGACGCCTCACCCTCATCTTCCACCCCCACCGACCGCCTCATTCGCTGGGCGGTCTCGGAGTGGTGGAAGCGCTGCTCCACCCAGCGGCTGAGGATCTCGTAGCCCTGGTGCGGCGCGGTCGTCCTACGGTGCGCGGTGCGGTCGGACGGGACGGTTGGAGGTGAAGCAGCCCATGGCTGCTTCAGCAGCCCAAGAAGGGGAAAGCACTTGGAGAAAGGCAGGGATCAACCTGAAACGGATTGGTTGGGTTATTTACAGATTGTTTGGTTTTCCTCGAGCATTGAACATTTCTTGGGGTAGAAGGATGTTGGGAGCACATCCAAATCACTTGGAATTGGAAGACATGGGCTTCCTCCTGCTAGCCCATTGCTTCTTCCCAGCTAGAATGGAGTACTGAGCTGTGCTCCAAATACTTGGAAAGTCCAATGTTGAACATACCTCCACGGCGAGAGATTGTTTGTCAAAGAGACAACGGGGCAGATGTTACTCAACTCATGTGGTGGTTGAACATGTCTCCCCGGGTGACTCATACTGCGGGCCAAAATCCTTCAAAACAGCTCCGCCCCCTGACCCTCCTGTTTCGTGCCCGTGCATTTGGCAGAAACTCGGCTCCTGTAGTCGTTGAAGCATTGGCCCCAAAAGCCCCAGAAGAGCGGTGGCTCTTGGTGTACCAGCTTTGGATCGCAGAGGTCCATATAGTCCAAGCTCCTGTCTTGGTAAGCCTTCACCTGTCACGAACCGACATCTCGCTTGGAAGACTCGGACGCTTGGCATGAACTGCAAAGGACAGAGAGGCCACGGCTGGGCTTGAAAGAGTCTGCATGTTTCGGACGGTTCTCATGGTCGGCCACAGTCATACGAGTACCAAGTGAAACATAGTGAAGCTACAAAGCTCTGGATCTGGATGGCCTCACCCTAGTGTCTAGACTGTGACGCCAGGATACCACCATTAATGGTTCTGGCCGAAGAACCATTGCTTTCCTAAAAGATGTTAAACTACGACACCAACTCAATCATGTTGCCTTGGAAGGCTAGATTGTGATTCTTTTGCAACATCCAGCCAGTGGGCGACTGGACGACGCTGCGTTATGTAAAAGGTTAAACTGTGTGTGTGTGCTTGCAGAAGGAGACTCTCCAACCAACGGGTTTCGGTCCATTGTCCTTTCACCAGGTCTCTTGGGTTCTCCCTATTCTAATGCCAACAAATACTCCAGAGGTCAATAGGGTCTTTTGGAAGATGTGTGTCCTCTAGAAGCCAGTGGTTTCTCTCCCTGCCGTGTCTTGACTGGAAAAAAAACAATCCTTGTGGCTCCAACCAACCGAAATGGTCCTCTTTCCCGTAGACTTTCTTTGGGATTTGCCTAAGGAACCGGGAAAAGCAAAAAATCCCCCCAGAAGAGGGTTCACCTATAGGGAAAAGTGAAAAACATGTCAAACATAAAAATCACCCTAAGGCCATAAGCGAAACCCAGTTCCTGTTCCAGCAGGTTCAACTCAGGGTCCAACCCAATTCAGACCGCTGGGAGCGAAGACGTGGCAGCCTTCGCCACGTCGTCGTACACCGCCAGCCCACTATCAGCCGAGAAGCCGGCGCCTGAAGACGGTGACCAAGTGAAGGAAGAACAGAGTTTGGACCCTAAAGAACTGAAAGTCCGGTTGAGGGTCTCAACTCTGTAGGGAGACCCAGCTTTACCGGGCCACGGGTGAAAAAATGGGGGTCCACCTGTTTGGAGCCACACCCCGTGGGGCACTCCGAGGGTCTTTTGACTGGAACGGCACCTTTTATCTGTGAGTCCTTCTTCCAGACGCCTCCAGCTTGGACAAGATCAATCAGATCAGTACAGCTCAGGTCTTGAGGCGGAATCAGGGTGGTTCAACTGTCCACAAATGCTCCATGAAAACAGCCCGACCGGTCCCTCAAAACCCAGGGATTGGTTCGACCCTGGACCCGCTCCATATGGGGGTCCATGAGCTTTTGGGTAGATTCATTCTCAATGGCATCACTATTGTCCAAAGCTTTCCGTCGGTTCACGCCAGCCAAATCAGCTAGTGCCCACCACTCCTTCTCATCTTCAATCAATGTCTTTCCAACATCACCACCGTGTCGCTCTGGTCTTCTCCTGCCTGTGAAAAGCAGGAGCACCTGCGCATCGCCCAGCAGCTGTGCCGCCTCGTCCAGCGTGGCGGAACACCGCGCGGACGGAAGCTGCTCCATGGCGAGGGCCGGTGTGGAGAGGCAGTGGACCGAGGAATGAAGCTGTTGCAGGTTCATCGAAATGAGAAAAATAGAATAGATGGAAAGATGTGAAAACATGAACAACAATAATGACTTTGTATATATATATATATTACTGTGAATGTGCAGAGTTTCTTGATCTTGATCAAGAGCTCAAATCTCTTGAGACCTCGAGCTCACATATCTAAATGTGCAGTCTGTCATCGCTGCGCAAGTCAGGTCAACGTGACCTGGGTCATTGGACCCAGGTCCAGGTCCAGTCTCCTGAGAAGCGAAGCATTGCAGCGGTATTTTTGTTTTCGGTTCAAGCGAGTTGCTGTCCAGAAATCTCTGACAGGGCTGGTGGACTTCAAACCACTCTGCAACTGCAAATAGAGATGAACTGTATTGAACTGTAACAGTTTTCCACCTCTAGAGAGGCCCGTTTGGCCCGGCATGCCATGTCCTTCACCTGGGTGCTCGCTGGCCGACACGTCGCGTGGTCACGGCTCCTCGTCCTTGCGTGCCTCCTGCGCTGCCTTCATCAAGGCGGGCGGTGCTGGGACTGCCCGGAAGGGCTTCCTTGGGCTCTGGGCGTCGGAAAAAGCTGCGGACGAAGGGGCTGGAAAGAACAGTTTGAATGGGGTGGAGAACACTTGGGACCACACCGCTTGGGACCAGATAAGTGTGTTTTTTGGACCCCATCGCCCTGCGGTCTTCCCCCTGCGATGGGAAACGAAATGGAAGGATTCGATGTTCGGGATGCGAACCTTCAAACCGGATTGTCGGTTGAGGTTTTGAGCTACACCCAGAGCTCTTCCCAAACTTCTCATCTGCCATGGACGACGACTAAAGACGCCGAGCTGCTCGACCTCTCGCCTGAGGCAGAAAAGGATGACATGCACTTAGCTACTGGTAGCTTCTTGCTACTAGTAGCGATGCACCTTGTTAAACAAGTAGCTTCTTGTTACTAGTAGTAATGCACTGAGCTACTAGTAGCATCTTGAGTGGTGAACTATCTCCTCACAGGCAAGAATTCAAAAGTTCTTCACCATCTGACCATCTGTGCTTGACCATGCTTTACCCTTAGCAGCAAGAGTTCGGCACAAGCTTCTCAGCCAAAAACCACTCTCCAACGAACTTAACTGCAGCCACCTACGTGACCACCTTTGCAAATCATGAACAAACCCTCTTCCCAGGGTTCCCACATCCCACAATGAGCATGCGTTTACAGTGCCTTTCGTTCATGACTGAAGCCAACCAACAGGTCAGCCAAATGTTTTCATAAGGTGGAGAGCATGAGCATAAGCTCAAAAAGACACCCAACAAGGCAGCCATATGAGCAGAGCAAATTTCCACCCAACACACGCCAAAGCCACATGTTTACCACCTTCCCTGCCTGGGATGCTTTTCGACTGCAGACTTCTCCACCTCCTTCTGTAGCTGGTGCACCAGCAATTGGCTAGGCCTAGCTGCAGTGCGCAGCCATGGCAGCGAAGAGAAAGAGAGAGAAAGAGAGAGGGACATCCCAGGAGGTCTTGGAAGACAAAAGCGATGTGCACTTTTGTGCGAAACTGAGACTGGGAATTTCCGAAGAAGAACTCTATGCATTGTGGCCATGGACCATGACTCTGTCTAGAGGATAGGTCTCATGGTCTCATTCAGAAGAAAAAAAAACGTTCTGACATGAAACCGGGGGTCCAAGCCCAAGCTCAAGAAAATCGATCGTCTAAAATGTGATAAGATTTGATTCAAACAACAAACCTTGAAGGCTCTGGGGACGTGATAATTTTCTCCACAGAAGTGGATATGCCAAAGAAGTGGCTGGAATGCCAACACCTTTCTTGAAGGTCTTCCAAACTTCTATATATCTTGATAGAGCTGGCAATGAGAAACCAGAAAGCCTGCACGCGTGCATCTTGGCAGGGTCCATGTTAGTCTTCAACGGGGCAAAACATCTCTCGTAGTCACTCCGTCTCCACTCAACGAGATGTGTGAAAACTGCGTGGGCTGCGCGGAACTCTCCGCGTCCCCGGCCGCAGCCCAGAGATGGTGTTCCGGGCGGCCTGGGCAGTCGGGCAGAGCATGGGCAAAGGCTTGTCTCAGTGTCTCAGTTTCCAAGCACCAGAGATCATGGTGGTTCCAGGCGAAAAACAACTCTAGAAACAGGGTTGGTTCTGAGGTGATGATTTCCTCCACGGAAGTGGATATGCCAAAGAAGTGGCCGGACAAAGGAGTCTTTTGCAGGCTTCTTTTGGGGGGAATCGCTTCAAGGCCATGTTATCCTGTATATAGCTTCCAGAGGAAAAGAAGTCGGTGAGATAGAACATTTGTTCAATATAGTATAGACCACAGCTTGTATAGACCACAGCTTCGATAGGTTCCACAGTCCACATATCAAGAGTATTCAAAATGTTGTTTCAAGATGCTTCACCCCGATTGTCTCAGCACTTGAAGAAGAGACTTCGTGCTGTTCTGGATGATCCAAAGGTTCCCCTCTGTACAGATAACTCAGCTTGCTGCACTGCTCTCCTCAGGCTTCCGACGAGATTCAGGGACTCCTTGATGGTGCGGCAACATTCATTCCCAGCTGAACATTCCCACTGATTAGGAAGACTTGCAGGAAAGCAGGCTTCAACCCCATCCAAAGCATCATTTCCTGTACGGCCTCTGAGATCCATTGAAAACAGGTATTTGTTGCTTCCCATCAGACCATGGAACTCGTTCCCATCTGATCCAAAAAAAACTACAGTACTCGTACGGAATGTCCCCACCTGCCTGGGGCCTTTCCAGGTGAGACACGTGGATTCGAAAAGATACGTGGCAAAAAAGAATCCGAGAAGCGAGAACCGAACAAGTGAAAGCAACGTGGCAAACAAACAAAAGTCTCCATCGAACTGCACGAAGTGTTTTGCCGTTTTTGTGATGCTCAGGTTCTTCAGCGTCTTCTATCGACAATCGACAACTTGCAGCGCTTCAAATGTCACTGGCTCCAGTCTCTTCACAGAGCATGTCAACGAGCAGCAAAGTCCACTTTGAATCAATCTTCTTGATCTTCTAGCAACCCAAAAGGACTCCCCAGGACCCCGAGCGTATCAAAGAAAAAGTATAGACTTTGCGGACTTTATAGATGATGTTATGGTACGATGTATCTCTTTTTGATACCATAAGCTCAGGTCCGGCACTATTGCTCTGCTACACTGCTACACCTTAGCTGGAGGGATGTTCTTCACACAAAAAGAAAACAACTGATACAAACTCAAACTGCTCCCTTTCTATCACACAAAATCAAAAAGAAAACAAACGTCCATCAATGTCCATCCAACAGAAACCGTAAACCACGCTCCTGACGTCATCTGGCTGCGTGGCGCGCCCACCGTGTGCCGCTCCACCGGCGTCCCGTACCGCGGCAGCGCCGGCGAGGTCGGTGGCGCCCGCAGGGGCGCGCGCGACGGCGAGGGGGCCGTCATCGGAGTGCGAGGAGGCAACCTGGAGGTCGAGGATGGAGTGAAGATCATGATTAAGCATGTAAAGTCAGTTCACGGACGTTCTATGGACCATGGATGATACTTCAAAAAAACATGGTTTCTAACAT